GTGGAGAGTGGGATTGTTGCCACCGTGCAGCATCACGAGACCCTTACCCCGTCACCTCAGCCCAACATGGGACACCTGTCCGCTCTGCAGGAGAGGGGTGAGAGGAAGGCCTGAGAGCCCAGAATTGGCGCGTCTTCAGTGGCCCTTTCAAAGCAGGGCCACAGGCCCCTGCCCTGGGAAATGGAGGCTGGGGAGTCCTGCCAGTAGCCAACCGTATCATCTCCCTACTTAGACCTGCATCACTTTTTTTGTTTGGTATGTGATCAAATGTAAAATAAACTACCAGTTTCGAAAAAAAAAAAACAGGTTTTAATATCCACGCATTTACCGTCGTTATAGGCCTGAAGGTCCAGTACAGTAGCCGTTAATAGTCTGGCTCCAGTTGTTTATATTTGTCTATGGACAGCGTAGCCTGGCTGCAGGGAACCCTGGTGACATAGTGGGTTAAGGAGTTGGGCTGCGAACCGCAAGGTCATCAGTTCAACCCCACCAGCCACTCCGCAGGAGAAAGATTGGGGCGGGGTGGGGTTTGCGTCCATGAAGGATCTATAAAGGAGGCTCAGTGGCAGAGTGAATTGTGCATTGAGCTATTAGTTAAAAAGTCAGCAGTTTGAAACCACCAGCTGCTCCGTGAGGGAAAGGCGAGGTTTCCTGCGCCCACAAAAAGCCTTGGAGCCCCGCAGGAGCAGCTGTACCTGCCCTGCACTATCGTGTTACTGTGAGTCAGCATGGACTCGATGGCAGTGTGTTTGTTTGACATCACAGCTCAGAAACCTGCAGGGTAGTTGCCCTCTGGCCTGCAGGGCCAGGATGAGACAATGGCTTGTAAGGTTGGCTTTGTTTCCGGTTCCCTTTGGCCGTGACTGCTTCCACTTGGGTCTGCATTCTGAGCAAACTGATGAGGAGGGCCAGGTGCCGCCTCTGGTGGAAGGTTCAAACCTCACAAGCCCTTCCCAATCGAAAGCCCTCGCCTGAACTCCATCCCTACACAAGAATCCCGTGTTTATAAGACTTTTTCAAAAGTCAATAAATACTAAAAGAATGAAAAAGCAAGCACAAAGAGCTGTACAACTTGCAAGAAAATTATGAAATTCGGGATGCTGCCTAATTGTGGAGAGGGAAGTGGCTTCCCCTTTCTCTAATGGCTTCTTTAAAAGGAAAAAATAAGCAAGTAGGACACAGTGATGAGTCTTTACAAAACTTAGCAAGCAGTACATGTAATTTCCCCATTAATGTGCATAGTTTTCCATAAGCTTATATTTCATTTTTAAAAACTGAGTGGGTTCACCTTTATCTTAGAAACATTTGAGGGATGACACTGTTCTCAAAAAACTACCACAATTTTCTGGGAATACCGTAAGTGGGATTCCATTTTGTACAGGATGGCTCCCGTGAGCTCAGGCTCCCCACCTCGCTGTTTTCAGAAAGCGTGCCACACTAGGACTGGTCCCTCTGCTCCGGGCCCCTCCACTGCCCATCTCTTTACCTCCACCCTCCCGAGAAGCTGTGGCCCCAGGGTGGAAAGCCCAGACCCCACTCCTTTCCCGAGAGCCTGCT